TTTAATGATTTTTGAATTGTTTTAAATCATGTTTTAAAACATTGTTGATTGTGCGGTTGATAACTGAAACTGAAAATAATTGGACCATCTTAATTTGATCGATGACATTTATTTCGTAGGTACGATAACTTTTATTCTCACAAACCCTACGTAATTATTTTGTAATCATCGAATATATGATAATCAAGTCACTTGATATTTGGTTTAAAACAATAAAAACACAATGTTTTAAATCAGTTTTATATTGTTCTTAAAATACTTGCCATCCTTATATAAAGCCTACAAAATTTAACTCAGCCGGGGTTATAAAAACCTTTTTTTTTTTCTCGTGTAGCTTTAAATCTATACCAATATTGTTGATTACAAATAAATTTGTGTGGCTGTTGATAACCAATCTGTCGTAACCACTCGCGACGCAGCAATTGTGTGCATATTAGAGCATATTATTTTTAAATTTATATTTAGATTTCGTTTGTCACCGTTATCTTCAGATTTATACGCAAACTCTATTCAATATGAGTGGTAGAAGAAGAGCCGATTCACTGAAGGGTTTGTCGCTTCCAAAATATAACCGACCTCAAACTGAAGAAGAGATGGCTTCGATGCATAACTATAGGGACAGGTAATAATATGTTACGTTTGAATAACTGACATAAATTAGCTATTAAACCAGCTTTTATTTGTAGTGGCATCCTTCTTCTCTCTTTGACTCAATCTCGACAAGCTTGGACAAGTTCTATTTTAAAAAAGTTCTCTAGCAAACAAGAAGTTATTTATCAACCTAAATTACCAGAATATACAAATCCAAATGCGATTGTTTCATTACTGGGAAAATGTCATATTACCATAGGACCACACACTTTTTACGATACTAAAATTTATGAGGCCGTATACGAAAAAGAAATGCCAAACCCAGATGTTCAGGCTGGAACTTTTCAAATCCAACCAACACAACTAGGATCGCTCCAATCTCCTACACAACAGCAAACGCAATCAAACGCACAAAGCTTAACACAATCACCACAATCGGGTATACAGACGTTACAACAACCATTGCTTGCAACTCATACACAACAACCGTCTCAGGCGAAAACGCCGCCAACTTCATCGACACAATCATTTCCTAGACCAATACATCCTGCTATACAACCAAGACCGCCGACACAACCACAAACTCTTTCACAAACACAAGTACCGATTCAACCACGAGTTACTTTACCAAGGATATCTGCGCGCCCTGTTACTAATACAA